CCTTTTTTTTTTAAATTCCGTTTCGACTTGACTGAGAGAAACATGCTGGATTGTCTTTGATATATCAAATTGCTGTACTCCTAATTGACATAAATGGCAGTCACCGCCATCATTATAACTTAGATCAGGCATGGGCCAACTTCCACCATCCGCTGGCCAGGTCCGGTCCTCGAGCGATTTCAGTCCGGCTGCGAATCAATCCAGTAATAATTATTAGTAATGGGAGAGGCCGAGCTGAGTTGGTAATTATTTTCTTAAAAGTTTAACTGTTCGTCTTGAAAATTTAATTTAATAGTTTCCGGCTAACTGGTAGCGATAGATCTATTATTTGATATCACGGAATACCCTTGGGTGGCACAGTCGTGCTATAGAGTCAGTCTCACTTTTAAGAGCTTGGGTATTAATTAGTGCAGGGCGGCTAGGTTCACGATTCTTGAAAGCTAGGAATCGTAGGATTTGACTCCGAACCCAATTACTTATTTTCTGATAATGTGATTTCTTCCGGTGGTTACCTGGTTAGCTCCAAACATCTTCAGGGTTTGGGATAACCTTGATTTCGGAACACTACGAAGCACCAACTTATATAAAGATTTTAATGATTAAAGTAACTGGTGACCGTTGGTTTACGTAAAAAGGAGTCGGAATTTTTCTTCCTTAGCATTAATCATGGGAATCGGTTCCGAATCGATTCTTCGCCCAGCTTTAGTATTAATTAGTTTTGACCCACGAGATATTCGGAATCGCTGGATCCGGCCCTCGACTAGGCCATGCGTGCCCATGCCTGATACTAAAGATCCTACAAAATATGTGGGTCGTCGAAAAGATTGCTCTCGAAGTAATTCGGGGAAATGTTGTCCGGGTCATCAATATCCCTGGAGGCAATCAGAACAGCTAACAACAGTCGAAAATGTCTAGGACGGCAGGTGATCCTCTCGGACGATGCCATTGTAATGTTAGGGGGGCGGGGGGTTGGGATGATATTTTGTATAGGTGACTATCTGATGACCTATTGTTGTTGCGAGTCCGTTAACTCTTACTAAAACTAAGGGTAGTGCATGTTCGTGTTACCTCTGCACAGTAAATGGTTAAAAACGTTGGCAGGCTGCATTATTTATAATATGTGAGGCATTGTGCTGAAATCAGGGGATTGTCAAATTAACGAAATCGGAGCAATTGATACATTTTGTTTCCACCCGTTGGGCGATTTTTTTTATCGAATATGTTTCTTTTGTACTCAACACATTTTATTTTCATTTTAAAACATATTCATGCGTAGATTTTACAGAAAAACATTCATCAAAGGGACACCAATAATGTAGGTTTGCAATTTCCAAGAACACTTCAGCTTTGGAAGTCACCAAACTGTGGTGGCCATATTCTGCAAATGTTGCCCCTGACACGAAGCGACCCCCACCTCCTTCAGTCCCAAATACCTCGACTTCTGTTTAAGATTCATCTAGACTTGATAGTACATGATTGGCTAGCTAATACTTTCCGTTTAATCACCTCGCACTCACTAAATACATGCAGCCTTTATTCTGTGAGGCATATGTCCTTCCAACACATACTTTTTCCATCTCTGCCTTTTGCCACACTCACACATCGGCATTTCTCAAAAGAAGGACTGATGATACTTGAACACCCATTTAAATGTTTTCCAAGTTCTGATTATAATTGGTATAATTTTTTCATTTCTGCATAATAATGTCTTGACGTAGTTATCAGTCTCTTGCAATGTAATGCCGTCTTATTTCCTTCCTTTGTGGTTAATAGCTGTCCAACTGTACGATCCCCTTCACCCCGTGTTTCAGTGGCCCAAAAAGTGATGCAAGAAGAAGAAAGCAACTTATACCTGGGGATCATCGCCGGTGCTCTGTTTCTAGTCTTTGTTAGCATCATTTGTATTTGTTTATGTAAGTATATATTATGTCATTAACACATCATGCGTTAAAGAATGTCTTGACTGTTGCCCGTTCACTGCGCCTCTGCTTGTTTTTCTTCCTCACTCTTTCCCTCCACCCGCCAGCCGTTTTTCCTGACTTTAGAACGC